GAAGACTTTCGCGAAGATATTTATATTCGTCAAACTGTGAGGAGGAAGAGATGAGAAAGTACAGGGGACCATTGAAATCAAAAGCAGCAAGAAATAAGCAAACTGTCAAATATAATAGGAGTCCGTGACGTGAAGCTTCTTCAATTTCATAGAGGCCCGTCCAAGTGGTGGTGGGGGTCCCTGCTATATCAACTAACAAAGCAATAGAATTTTTCAGACTTCAGTATGGCACTGGACAAGGCAGGAAAGTACTGGTGGAGTAGGGCCAATTTTGCAGAAAAACATGGTGGGGTAACATTCTCTGCATTGTGCAAATGTTAGGTCTATTTTTCCATCCATGCTCCTAATAGCTCTTAAGTTGCAAGATAAATAAACTAATTGAGAGCGTGATCAAAAGAAAGGGGAGAACACACCGAGCCCTTCGGGTCAAGTGCCAATAACCACCTCACGATGCACTCTCTTGGATTGGGGTTCGACCCAACCCCTTGTCAACCTGTTCCAAAAAAAAAAAAAAGAAAGGGGAGAATTAATTAATTTGGCAAACAAAGAAAACAGAATGGCACCATTAACATAAAATAAACTTGATTGGCAGATCAGGTCTGTAAAGTCAAGGAATATAAAGATATGAACCTAATGGATGTAATAATGCTGACCACTGAAAGGAATGTAGCCATCTGCAATTTGGAAGAACATATTGCCAACACATATGGTCCTACGTCAACTTCAAGGTGATTTGCAGAGCCGCAGTCAGGAGATAATGAATTCATATAAAATAACTTGCTAAAAGATAAAATTAATAAAATTTAAAACAGTAACTTCGACTTCTAAAAGCCTTAACACTTTTGAGCGGAGTGCATCTGACCCACATTCAACTTCTGCAGCAAAGAAATTGTATAAATTTGCGCAAAACAAGCACTCAGAACAAGAAAGAAGGAAGAATATATAGGCCAGATTCTGATATGGAAGTTTGCAATCCAATGGACACCAAAATAAATATTTAGTATAGATAGTAAAAAGAAGGCAAATTATAAAAACTTTCATTCACTCACAAGTAGGTGGATGAGTTGACAGAAATTTCTTCCAATTTAATCGGATGTCTTGATTTCAAGTTCTAAAAATATAATTCCGTTAAAACTGGTTAGGGCAAACATTGCCACCCATTAGACCCTGTTCGGGTCGAATCCAAATTAATCGATGATCTAGTAGATTTCTAATTACCAAGTGGTACAAACAAAAAAATATATATACTTTCATTCAAAATATCAAATATTTTTATTATTGGAGGTAGCGGCCAAAGCTATATCCTCTGTGTTTCTCGGTGATTGAGTAAAACGTAATTCCACAATCAACCAACTTGACTAGGCCGTAGTCAGTACTTAAATTATCAATAAATGCATTGGGGAACAATAACGGTTAACATGGTAAGACTAGTAACAACTTGAAAATGATATCAAAACCTAAAAATTAACTTGCCATTTCTTAGAACAATGTCCAATCAAGATTCAAAAATGCTTTCGAGTTTAAATAAGAATCCAAAATATTTTAAGGGGAAAAAATCCGGACCTCTCAATCAAAATTATCTCAACCTACAAGTTTTTAACATCAGCATTACATAAACTTCCGCCACACTTAAGCTGCTGTGGATGATTTGGCAGCAGAGAGCCTGGATCTCTTCTTTGCTAAGCTTTCACTTCTGCGCTCACGCTGCTCCTTCAACCGGGTGGCAAGGAGCTTCTGATACTCAGCTGCATCCGCCTTGGCCTTAGCAATTCTCTTCTTCTTATCTGCAATTCTTGCACGCTTTCTCTGCAAGGTTAGAGGAGTTACCAACCTCTGAATTTTGGGAGCCTTGCTAACCTTCTTGCCTGCAGAATACAAAAAAGCATTAGTTTTGTTTTCAAACTAGCAGCAGCATCTTCAGCTACCAGGTTATAAAATAATTATCAGATCAAAATAGTATTTTATGTTTTGTGTGTTCCCAGTATAATAGGCCCAAATCAATACTATTATGGTTCTTACCAGATTTGGTTGTAAAGGTACGACGGTAAGTATTAACATATTTGCGAACATCATCCTCCTTTGAGAGGTTGAACAACTTGCGGATCTTGGATGCCCTCTTTGGACCCCTCATTCTTGGCTTCTCAGTGTCAGTCAAACCAGGGAGATCATTCTCACCCTTCTTCACAATAACCAAGTTCAGAACAGAAAGGTCTGGGCTAACAATGCATCCACGAACAGACTTCCTCCTGCGTTCTCCATTACGCCTTCCATAGCCACGGAAGCAAGGGGTGCCTGTTCAAGTTAGAGCTTTTTAATACTTAAGTAAAACATCAAAAAGAATCAATACTACAAGAAATAAAAATGAAGTTGCTCAGTCCACAGACCTCTGTGAAGCAAAAGACGCACACGGCCAGGTGTCAGAACTCCTTGCTTCATTGGAAAACCCTGCTTGTCACAGCCTCCCATGATCTTGAATACATAGCCCTTAAACTCCTGTCAGATGATATAAGACATGAGCATGGTAGAACCAACCTAGATGGCACAATCTCCAACAACCAAAATTTTGTCAGAGAGAGAGAACAGCCCAAGTCATGAGTCATCAAAACCTACCTCACCAAGGGCATCGCCACTGACTTCTTGTGAGATCCTCTTGTCAAAAAATGCTCGGCTGCATCATCAAAGCTGAAGTTATCTTCACACTCATAAACAATGAAATGTATTTCATTGCAGCATGAATCACCAAGGTTACAGTTATAATAAAAAGTATAATTGCATAATTGTAGAAAATTTTTTAGACAACAGACCAACTCATACAGACATTTCCTTTCAAGAGCTACTGAGAAGCAAACAACACGCATTCAATAAAAACTGGAGACCAAAGTAGACACACAACTTGAAGAGCCAGTGCAACAAGGAAACACTATCAATTTAACTATAGAACAAAACAAACCACAATGTATGAGATACAATTGCAAGCCACAATGTGTTAGAGGTTACTCGCTCGGCATAGAAAATACAATTGCAAGCTTCCTATATTTCTTTACCAAATTCACTTGCCAGGCCAACTAAGCTAATCGCACCATGTTGTTTGACTACCATGCAACACATACAGAACACCTAGTAATCATTTCTATTACTTTTTTTTTTTAATATCTCCAGTCACAAGCTAATGCAACTATTCAAGCAACGCATGCAAAATCATCCAAATATTCTACGTATTCTATGAAAATTCAGCCAACAAATCCTATACATACAGACTCCAGCATTGTGTTTAGAAGCTGCCTATCAATCTAATGCATGCTTTTGCGAACTAAGAAAAGAATGGATAAGATTGATTCAGCATCGAAACAGGAATAAAAGCAGTGAAAAGACAAAAAAAGTTAGAAAGAATGAAAAAAGAGAGATACAGTTTTTGGTCATCGTCGATTTCGAGCTTCTTCTGACAGCCAGTGGTCGGGTTTGCGATGTTGAACTGATACAAAACAGAAAACAAATCAACATATTAGAACAGCCAGAAAATGATCAATGGAAGTTCAAACATGAAGCCAACACTAAGAAAGATTCAGATAACAAAGAAGAAACGTAAGACCTTCATTTTCCTCGATTATTCTCCGGCTCCGGGAGGAAAATGCTGCCACCGCCGCTGCTCTCTTGCTCGCCCAGGGTTTCCGCCAAAGATAAATATTAGGGTTTCTGTGGTTCTGATATATTATATATGTACGGTTAGGTCCGATATGTAAATGGGTCCATGTGTAAATATGGGTTTCGATTAATCTCCAGGACGAGCTTGTTTCGGCCTGGGAGTCTTATGGGCCTTGTGTGCCTGGTGTGCCCAGATTCATTGCGAATCTGTTATTGGGCCTAAACTTAAGTCTGTCTAAGGGATTTTATTTTTGAGAATCCTGTTTTACCGTTCAAATTATATTAGATTGTAAAATCAAAGGACCAACCCCTTCAATAGTTAGTATTATATATACAGTCAAATATGGTCTCCCCTATACAATACTTTTTCCTTTATTTTTTTATCTAGTGTTCATGTGTGCATTTTGCCTTTTGGGTCGTCAAAAGTAAACAATTTAGGCTGACGTTAAAAAGCCCATGCATAAAACCCATTTTATGGCCTTCCAAAGTCAAACCCACAGCCTTTTTTCCACCTAGTGTAGGAAATAGAAGATTGAGCTTACTACCTTGGCATAAGGAGGTTGGAAACTGCAAATTGCAATTATCTTGGTATAATCTCAACTGAGTAAGGTTTCACTCTCTGTTTCAACACCAATTAAAAAGACAAGAAAAGAATTAATATTGTAAATAAGTCACCTCTTATCTATTATAATATATAAATATCAAAATTGATATACACAATCTTATCTCACAATAAAATCTCACAATAAACACATAACATAAATAAGTAATCGCATATCAATTCACTCGAAGAGGGCAAATCATAATTATTGCCATGCTAGATTGTTTGTAAGATTAGATTGTTCTAATTGAAAAAGGAAAAAAGAAAAAAAAATATATATATATATAAGATTGTTAATCATTTTCTTGTATATATACAAGAACAATGGAGACAAAGGCTTAGATGAATTCAAGAACCAAGAAGCCAATATATCACCAAAGGATATGATTTTTATTAACTTTTGATGGCTAAGGGATGTAATAATACATTTGCTGACTGTCCTCTTTTCCCCAAATCAACAGGTTTTGATCAGCTTATTATTTCTTCATGTCTGCATCACTGAAATGGAGAGAGGCAGATAAATTTGTTTGTTTATAAACACATGTCAAGCTGCTATGTGGCATAAACCTAAATTTATATTAAGGATTGGCCTCTTGATGTCCTCCAGGCAACTGCAGATAATCATGAAAAAAGAACATACATACCAGACAACAATAAGGCAAGATTATTTTGTTCACGTCTGCGTCTGCGTGTGCATGTGTATGCTTCTCATATGGCAATGGATAAATTATTGGAAGTAATGGCAATCAGCAGTGATTAAAGAATGGATGAAATTTTTATATGGGATAAGTTTCAATCTAAACATATATCAATTTAGCATTTCCCAGTCACCAACCAGGCAGTATATTGGTTGTAACTCATGATATAATAAAATCATTGCCTAGTTTAGTATCCATTGACAATAAGCGATAGAGTGTTCTGACTTCTGAGTTTGAACGCATTAAACAAGTTATTACCATTACTAATATATATATATTTTTTCATTAATATAGTAATACTTTTCGTCAACATCTTATGGTCTTCTGCTAATGCTGTAATGGTCATTTGTGTCAGTTTTTAACTTGAAGCGTGTTTGGTTAGCACTTTCCAAGAGAAACCGTTGCTGTCAGACATTGCTGTAATATGTTCTCGTGTCCATTAGTCATTGATCTAGTGAGGCTGAGGTATTGGAATGTTCTATATTATTGTTCTTGACTATCTGTTTAAGCTTTTAAGAGAAGAAATAGCAGATATTAAAGATAATGAGGAACACAAGTCTTGATAGTTCTACAAGCTGTAAAACCGAAGGCAATAAAGATCACAAAGCATTTATGCCAAAGCAACATCACAAAGCTTTCATGCCAAAGCAACATCACAAAGCATTCATGCCAAAGCAACATCACAAATTGGAATAAAAGATAATTTGATTCCTGATCTGGCCCTGAAAAGAATATCTTATCTCCAACAGCCTTTTTCTTTCCATCTTTTCAAGTGAGATTGGCTAAAACACTCACAATGCACAGACAAAATCCCCACTTGTCTCTATATCATCTATGTCTGCATCAGATATCTCATCCAAGTCCATGCTCCCTCCAATGAACTGCTCACCAAGCCTAGGGCCCTCTCCTGGCTTCCTGGCCTCTTGGATTATGGACAATATTTCTTCAATGCTCTGATCGTTTTCATCTTTGGGATGACTCTGCATATTATTGCCATCCCCATCTTCCGTGAATTCTATTGGCAAGTTCTTCAAGAACCATGGATGTTTCTGAATTTCCGGTATGGTTATCCTCTGCATAGAACATAATTAAAATAAATACATTGGAAGAGAGATAGCTGCAAACACGTATTTCAGTCAAGGAGAATGATCTTGCCTTTTCAGGATTAGCTACAAAAATCTGAGATAAGAGATGTCCACACTCGATGGAAACTCGAACATAATCTGGGATTGAGTAATGGACACTCAAAATGCGCTGTCACGATTCATTGAGATTGTTTTTGTTATTAAACCATAATACGTTAAAGCAGCATATCATTTCAGCAGACAACTCCAAAGAGAAATTAATTACATAAGTTCATAACTAACTTGAAGTGTTTTTCTGAAGTTTCTTGGATCATCTGGATCTTCAAATGGATAAGCCCCAACCAGCATCACATACAGAGTAACCCCACAAGACCAAACATCTGCAATCTATCATTCTCACATATGAAAAAATGAAAAAAAAAAGGAAAAAAAGAAAAAGAAAAAAAGAAAAGAAAAGAGAATTAGGTCACCCAACTAGGTTCAAAGAGGATAAGAGTTGAAATTAAGCAGAGGAGACCAAGAAGGCAAGTATCACCTTCCCATCATATTCTTTCCTAGCCAAGACTTCTGGTGCTATATAGGCTGGCGTTCCCACTGTAGATTTGGGTTGTGAATGCAACACAGATGACTGGAAAATGCAAATCGTAGAGTTTCAAAATCCAATTAAGAGTCAGTAAAGATGTAGCATAATCATTTGTTGGACTGATATTGTAGGCTAATTCATTAGTTACCTTAGAGTAGCCAAAATCACATATTTTGAGACGAGGCGCTATGCTTCCATCTAGCAGTGTATTTTCCAACTTAAGATCTCTATGACAAATTTGCTGTTTAACCAAAAATTGACAATTTAGCTAAAAAGGAAACGATACAAAAATGAAAGAAAGAACAAAGTACCCAAAATTTGGGGAGATGAAGAAGGATTACCATTGCATGGCAATACCTCACTCCTGATATCAGTTGTTGGAAGAAGTATCTTGCCTGCAGATAGAAAGGAAGTATGAAAATTTGAGGAAGAAACTTAAAGAGAAATGAAACTCAACAAAAGCCGTTCATTTTTACATGAATACCTCATCCTCACTGAATCTTCCAGCATTGCATATTCTCTCGAATAGTTCTCCTCCAGCAGCATATTCCATCACTATGGCTAGATGAGTCGGTGTCAGCAGCACCTGTACGTAGCCAAAAACATCAACATTACTATAGCATTTCTTTTGGGAAAAATCCTTTTTAGACAACAGAAGCAAATACAAGGGCTGCAAGGAACTGCAAATTAGGAAAACAATTATGAATTCAAGCGTCCCCTACTCATTAGCATCAATTCTGATTCAGTGAAAGTTCAACTCTAGTTGAGGAGAAATTAAAAGAACAGAAAAAAAAAAAGACAAACAGAGCAAACCCTGTATTTAGAAAGTTCTAGGTAAAAATATGGTGACACGTAATGCTTGTAAAACCGTACCTCCTTGAATCTTATAATGTTGGGGTGCTTCAAGGACCTGTGGTTCATGATCTCCCTCTGCACATGCTCATCAATCTACAAAACCCAAAAAAACCCCCACAAAAATTATTCCACAAACTTGAAAAAGAACCCAACTCAGACATGATCAAACTAAAAGGAAATAACAGAACCAAACACCAAGATGATGAAAAAGAAGCTTAAATCCAATACCTTGGGACCTCTTTCAATATACTTGACTGCATAAAACTCACCACTCCATTTATCCCTCACCAGCTTAGCAACACCAAAATTCCCAGACCCAATATCCTTCAATTCCTCATATCGCTCCATTTTTTTCCAAAATCTGCCGAAAGACAGTAACTTTGTTGTCTTCTTCTTTCCTTTTCTCCTTATTGGCTTTGCTTATATTGTCGGTTTCTGAAGTCTCTGCTTTCCTTGTATTCTGTTTCGGTGGTATTTAGTTAGCGTCGAGAATCACAATTCCTTCCTATGATTATTTGAAGGCCACGAAATGCTGAAGCTGAGTGGGTTTAGAGCTTTAACCCATCATGCGACCGTCAAAACTGTGTCAACGCAGAGGGAGAGGCCACACGTGGCGGAAATATAGAGGTTAGAATTTCGAACAGAACTCGGCAAGTTGGCTGCCGACGTCGTTGCTTTG